TTTTTTCGCTGTTGTCTAATTTACCAAACTTGTCCATGTCACACCCTCTCTGTCTCATTTCCTCCTCGAGATCCTCTCTTTCCTTCCTGTACAACTCACACTCCCCAACTATGTGGGGTCTACTCTCCTCCGATTTGCCACATGGACATGTGTGTCTATCCTCCTCTTCCTCTCTCCTACGGCTGGTATACCTCTTCCTCCGTTCTGGCAAGTCCAGATCGCCTACTCGAAATTGCAATTTCAGCTTTTTCGCATAGTCCATGGGGCCGTCCAAGTACTTCTTCATCCCTATCCCTTCTTTCAACTTCCCGTATATCTCCAAGTGGTCTTCGCTTCGTACCTTCTTCCGAAGGGTTGCCTCCTCCCTACTCTCTAGCATCTCCTTGACTTTCGTCTTGAACCCCCCGAACCCTTCCGTGTCCAACGTCTCCTCCTCGTCTCCTATCTCCTTCCAAACCTTCTCTACCACCTTGTCCCATCTGATTCCCTTCTTCCCTGGAGTCGCTTTTCCCCAAGCTGCCTCGTCAACCATGGCTGGTAGTCTATCGTCCGACATTCTACTTACCTTGTACTGCCAATTCAACTTCTGCATGTCTCTCTTTGTTTTAAGAGAGTACATTCCCAATTTCTGCTCTCAATACAGTGTTGCTCGTTGTACTTGAACATCCTAGTATTTTCTTGGCCGCTGCCATCTGCACCGTTTCCAGCTGCTTGACGGCCTTTTCGTTACCTTCCCATATCTCTCCTGCATACTCTAGCTTAGGTACAATCACCTTCAAGAGAATACACCTCTTAATCCTAGTGTCTAGGTGTGGGTCCGTAAGGATCTCGTCCATCTTGCCTATCTGAGCTTTACTCTTCCCAATCAACTTCGCTATGTGTGCGTCCCATGAGCACTCCTTCGAAATCTCTACTCCCAGGTACGTATACTTGTCTACTACCGGTAGTTCTTCCTCCCCCCATTTCCATTTGAATTCTACGGGATTTTTCTTATCTTCGTTACAGACCACTACTGCGCATTTTCCTACGTTCGCCGACAGTCTCCATTTTCGGGTGTATCCTACCGCCGCATCTATTTGTTCTTGCAACCCTTCTGGAGTCAGGGGGGGGGGGGGGAGGGAGTACCTTTGCCACAGAACTTGGGCCATCAACTGGAAGATGGCAAGTGATCAGTGGTGTGATTCACTCCGAGCCGACGCGTCAGGACGTCTAGAACGCTGTGACATTTCGACCGATCAACTACGAATTTGGGGTAAAGAGTCCATAGTTGACTATACCTCGGTGTCCAATTTGGCAACCTCGATTACAATTCTACGGCTGAAGCAAGTAGGTCGCTGAAGATACTACACCTTCTGATCCGATTTTCAAATCTTGACTACTCCTCGACGGAGAGGATGCAAAAAAAAAATGAATCGTCTTCGGAAGGCTCTCAAAGAGACGGTTCCAGCGCCGCCATTTTTGGCACCGTCACGGCTGTTTTTGCGGCAGAGTGCAGAAATCGGGCTTTGAGAAATTGGGGTGGGGAATCGCACGCAAACCTACTACTGTACGGGAACGCCAAATCGAACAAAAGCAGACGGTCTAGTGGTCTTTGTGCATGGAGCAAGGGTCTATGTACAACTATGCTTGGTTGAGGTAGTCCCGAAGGCTCGGGGTTGATCAACTACACTACACGTGGTCAGGTATTAGTGGTTTACCGATGGCTGATGTCGCATTGTCGCCGCCACAGCTCTTGCAGCTGTACTGCAACCCAGACGCATAGCCCTCCTCGCATGCCGCACAGTCTGAAAAAACAAGAATCCGCGAAACGAATGGAGTGGATTGAAGATTATGGCACGTCCATGTACCTAACCGTTGAACGCGGCGGGGAGCTACTACAACAGGAGACACCCATTGCAATGTTCTCACATGCCCCTTGATAGCCCGTAGCACAGTACTCCCCCGCGGTGCTGCCCCCGACGCAGGCCTCTTCGCGGTGACATTCCAGGATAATGTCGCTTTCGGCAGACGTGCGGTAGTACCCGCTTTCCAGGTCCAGCGTTTGCAGCGTGGTGCCCGCGTTGCCAGAAACGTTCACACCCACTGCCACCTGCGTCGTCCAACGCGCAAGATGGGACCGGAAGAAACGAGAGGGCACGTTTTCTTTAGACGACGTCTTGCTCTCGTCGGGACCACGTCGTGAATGTCTACCTGTGGTTGCGCAGAAGAAGTCCAAGGTAGATCTACGCCGACGTTCGTTCACGGCAGAACACCCGCGTTCTCCAGGAAGATATTGTCACTCCAACTCAAACCGACAATGGAGGGCGAGACCCATAGACAAGTACTTTGGAGTTCGGGGTGATGGAGAAATCCACTTTGGAGTTCGAGGTGATGGAAAATCCTCGACTGTGGCCGAAGTGTTCATGGCGGTTGGTAGTAGTCTGCTCTGTCAGGACGCACGCGCGACAAGTTTCGTGCTTAGTTTTCCGACGTCTCCAGAAGACGGCAATTGCCCTAAAGTAGGTCGTAGGTGCGTCGTATTGATGGGAGTGCGAATAACGAATGCGTTTTGATATACCTACCTGGGTCGTTGATGCCTCCGTATCCCACAAAACAAGGATTTCATAGAAATTACCGCCTACCCTGAGAGGACAAAAAGCGAGGGGCGGCGGACACTACGAACGGTCTGGATGGTGATTCGTTGCACCTTGTGATGTACGAAGAGTCTCCGGGATCGTATCTTACGCCGACTATAATGTAGCTGGGAACGCTTGGTACGCTCGGTGGTGACACCGTACTGGGAAGCCTCCGGGCATGTGACAGTCACGGGCGATCGGAGCTCCTTGCGTTCTCCCTTTTTGCTCTCCCACTCTACATAATTTTTTTTTACCGTGTCCACACGATGAGCCGGGGTGCAAAATATGGGTAGATATGGCACGGGGTTTGGCGTCTCCCATCGGACTGTTTCGCCTCGGTGCTGCCACGGAAAGAAATCGGACAAAGCAAACACTTCTGCAAGGCCTGCATACCAGAAGATACACATCAACTTAGTTAGAAACGCCTCACGTTGTGTTCCAGCGCTCTGTAACTCCGGGATGGAGGTAGGATAATAACTTTGGAGGCGGGGGCGCCGCAGCAATCACTTCGCATTCCGATGATGGGTATATCTTCCAATACATCGCAATATTTCCTCCCCACAACCTAAACTAAAATGCACATTCAACTAGGTTTAGCGAAGGCATTCGTTCACCGTTCCTTTCGTGTTAGCAAGGAAGGCATATGCCATGCGCACTGATGGAAATATACTCTGTGTGGCCCCGGGCCGTCGATGGAAGGATACGTTGGATGGCCGCCGCTTCTGCTACGAGCAGTAGTCCGCTTCTGGCCAAGGGTTGGCCCGGTTCCTGCACAGCAAGGGGGCATCGTGGAAAAAATGAGCAGACTCCCCCCCGGTCGTGTCATCAACAATACACTGTCTTGTTAAGCTCGAAGTCTACTTGATTGACCAGTATGGTTTCGCTAGGGAGCGTGGCCGTCAACTGAAGAAATTGTCCGCTGAATATTGTTTTCCCTGCCGAATCCTGGCCTGTACGAAACGTTTTCGCGTACTCGACCGCGCTTGTTAACACTTACCGCTTTGCAGTGGGGCACGACGTTGTCTTCAAGCACACTTATGCCGTTGTCTAGCATATCGTCATCCTCACAAGGAGATGAAACGCATCTCGAGCAGACTACCTCGAGCCGGCAGGTGTCAGCGACCTGAAGAGAAGAGCGATGCAGGTTTTGGGGCGAAAACACGTCATCAAGTTTGGTGCGACCCAATGTGACATGGTGACGTGATTGGTTCAGCCCGGGTGGACGAACGTTCATAATGATCCAGCCGGAATGGGCCCAGATAGAATACATTCCTTCTTATCCAATGCTTGTCAGAGCTGCGCCGGCGTACTGCTGTCGTCCAAAACCATCACGTGTCACTGCTACCATAACACAAGCTATGCTTCCGTCCAACTAATTTCTTCACTTGGGCACAGTTCGGGGAAATACTAAGTGATGTATTGTTTCCTCGACGTTTGTTTGTGTTGCTTCCAGGACGGCACGGCGATAGACCTTCAAACATGAGTTGTTCTCGCCCACATCATGATACCCCGAACCCCGTTCAGACTTTCCTGTCTCAACACGATCTTGTCTCCATAACAGGGCAACTTCAACGACACATCGTGTTGGGTACATACCGCACCTTTCTCCAAGCTTTGTTTCAATATTCTTGACCCAATTCAACTACAAAAGTGGCACAAGAATCTAGGCCTCTGCAAGCATGCAACACCGATCACTCTGCTCGAGCAGGCATTCTGACGTCTTTCTTCAGAAGAGAGTAGCACACAGCGAAACCCAGGGCCTCTCGCCAGAATGATGTCAAAACCTTTCCCTATTCAACAAACTTCGTCTCGGCTAGCGTCATGGAACCTTCACTGCCTTTAATGGGGCCCCAGGCACCGATCTCGGTTCCGCAGCAACAGTCGGCGGTCCTTCTTTGGGCTTCCTCTGCTGCAAGCAGAAAGAATCCGGCACGCATTGCAACGGTTGCGCAATAAATCTTCACCTCTTCGTCCAAGAAGTGCGCGTCGGACCCGTATTGGCCGGGAGCGCAGTAGAATGTATTCTCTGCGAATGTGACATCGGTGAAGTTCTCCGCAATTCCGAGGCTCATTATGGCCAGCCCATCCTCACCGGCTCGATTTGCCTGGAAGGCTGTGTTGTGTACGCCGACAAGAACTCCTGAATGGAGAAGCGCGCCTCCCGATAAAGCTGTTAAGGAGCGGAGGAAAGCAAAGGAGATGGAACGTTTACGGGGGGAAAAACTCTTAATGCTGGGCTAGTTTCTCTGTCACATGTGTTGAGGCTCTCCTATTGTCAGCAGGTCCCGATCGATACAGGCGGGAATTCAAGCAAACAACAAAATCAACTTCAGGTTCGATCTCCTCGATCGAGATGGCTTACTCAATTGTGTCTTGCTTCGGGCTAGAGGCAAGTTTCTGATCCATCAATTTTCCATTTCACCTGAGGCCAAGCGTTGCCCTGGCGCTGGAAAAATTCGGCAGTTCAGCCCAATTCGCAATCCCCAACGCCAACACATTACCATATCTGTATATGTTTCTGCTGCATCCTATTCCTTACCCTATTCATTCTTTGGAAGCGCGATCTCTACTAGCGAAAGACCCAAACGCCGCTTGAAGCTGAACATTTCCCCCATTGACGTAGTTCATGAACGTTCACCACTCCATATTCTCGCAGCAACACATCTTCGCCGTCTTCTGTCCTGTAAAATACCCCAACATCCCTGCAAGTTGATATCGAACATCTCTCCGAGCATTGATCTCTCCGAGCATTGCCTTGTCGTTGGCGAAGGCTATCGGCCCCTCTCAGCGCTCTCTGATCCCTATCACGTTCTGTAGATTTCGGCATGCACTCAAAGAGATATTTCGCTATGTTTGACAATAGTGAGCCATATCCTTTTCGTGACATGTTGGCCGTTTCTATTGCACATAGCGTTCCCATGCTAGTATTACACTGTCCCCCGGTCCTACGGTTCCTTGCACGCCCGTTGTCGGCCTGAACGGCAACTTCATTCTCAACATCGTTGATAGTTCTGCCACCTGTTTTATCCCATGTACTTACTTTTCTTTATGGTTGTGTTGCTGAATGTGCTTTGATTATGTTTGGCTTGTTTCGCGATGATGCGATTGTCCTACTTTGCTCTGCCACCTAGAGCTACTGCGTCAACCTTTTCCGCGTTTTCCGGCCCGCGTTTCTCGTGAGCTTCGATGTAGTCATCATCATAAGATAGAATGCCTGCTGGCCCGCTAACAGCAGTCTTTCTGTTCCACGCCGCCATACAAAAAGTCACCGTCCTCTGAGAATCAATGCCCAAATGACTCCAGAAGCACCTGTTTGGAGCACATTTCATTCATGTCCGATACCCGCCTTCAACCAGCGGACTCGTATTTTCCCAACAGTGGTCTCGTCGTCATGTGCACCGAACTTCTTTTCCCACCGTCGTAAGCGCCCTGCCTAGCTTTGGGTTCCGGCGTGGTACCTGCGAAGTTGGCCTGAAAGGAGCAATCCTGGACAAGGTCGTACCCGGCCGCGCTGTAGAAGGCACCCCCATCGTCGGCGCTGTTCCGCTCGAACACGCAAGCGGTAGTGTTTACGGGCCCAGAGCCTTCTAGTGACCCAGAGGAGAAAAACGCCATACCTGAGTGTAGAGCGCCCGACGGTTCAACAGAAGCAATTGTTTCGAAAAGCGCTTGTTTGGCAATACTTCCGCAGGCATATTCTACTCTGTTATGTATGCATACATGATGGCAAGCACCGCACATAAATTGTCTTCTGTTTGACTCCGGGTTGGGGTTCGTCAGCTAGAGACGCAAGACCGTACCGTGGGCAGTGACTGTTGCGAGAGACTTCCGTCAATAGCATGGCGAGCAACAAAGCGCGGCATCGCGGCAACATCGTTTCTGCACCACGTTTGAATGGTGCGGGTAGTTAAGACTCGCCTCCACCCCAAACGGCAGTGTTGGAAGTGAAGGTCGCGCCGTTGATAGTGGCCGCGGAATTGGAGAAGTATATTCCCCCTCCCGCGCCGCTAACAGCTGTGTTGCTAGACACGTTCGTCCCTGGCCCTACGAGGATTGTAGAGTCAGTTCCGTAGATGGCGCCTGGCGAAAAAGCTGGAACCGTGTCGCAGAAAAAGTACTCAATCAGGCTCATGCGTTGAACAGCCTGGACGTTCCGACATGAAGTAGGCGTCGGCTACCAGCAGCGCCGGCGAGCAGAAACCCTAACAGTCGAAGGCCTCTCTACCTCCTAATGAGGCGATTTTCTTGATAGTGGGCTAAAATACAATTGTGTCGGACATGAGGCTTGTTGTGACGGGTCCCCGGGATTGGGGAATTCATCGGCCAAGAGTTAATTTTCAAAAGCACACACTCGTGAATCGTGCTGATGTCAATGGCACATGGCGAACGCCAGTACCGTTACACACGATGCGCACACCGGCACCACGCAAACGCTTGCGGTACCTGCATCGAATACGTCTGTGGTTTTCTGATTGGCCGATTTTTTTGAACGGAAATTTCCTTTGGTCGAAAATTCCAGCACATTATATTTTATACAGCGAAGCCATTGCTGCATCCTCAAGAACCACACAACCTCTTTGAAGGCGGTTGTTGATAGAAGTTGCCAAAGGGAATGGAATTCCCGCTTCTCCAGCACCAACGGACATTAGCGCCCGTGGGTGGTATTGTATATACTACATCCGCAGTAAACACCACACTCCTCGGCAGATACGACAGCAGGTGGTAGAGTGTCTAGCTTTAGTTCGATCCACGAAACTAAGAGCTCTCTCAGGCCGCGGAATAGTGCAGCACAACACAATGCGACAGAGACCACTTACCGGATTGCGGTCTCTAAACGTCACCCATAACGCGGGCCTGGCCACCACGGTAAGTTCTTTACGCTCTAGGCTTTCTGCGCACGTCTCATACCTCCATTATTGTCTGCCTTGTTTTCCAGGAACGTGGTTAGGCCGCTCACGCTCAAGGTGGAGTCTTGAGAAATTGCCAATGCCCCTGTTGGGATCAGGCGGGCGTTGTAGAGCCAGAGGCAGTGCGTGAGCTTCGCGAAACCGGGGGTTCTTGGGGGTCGATCTTCGCTGCACCTGATATTATACTACACGGAAGATAGGTATGCACCAAAGACTCCACCAACTTTCTACTTGTTGTACCAGCAAGCTCGTGCAGAAGGGTCGACAAGAACTTCCATCCATTGCTACCAGTTGCGTTTGTCGAACACTTTATTGCTCTGCAGAATGCAGGATTTGAAAATCCTATAAAGCCCAACACGCAGAAAGAAACCTCTCCTCGAGGGTGAGCCCGCAAATGAGAAGGTCATATTATCGTTTTCACCTCCATTCGATGTTGCCGAGTTTCTTACAAATATCGCGTTTCCTTCGCTGATGGAAAACGTCGTAGACTATTCAAAACAGCGTATAGAGAAAGCGCGAATGGAGGATGTACCGGCCTTGATTAATCCGTATCTTTGATGATACGCTCTTAAGGGAAGATAATAATATAAAAGATTGGTCTCGGCTTGCCCCGCCCTCAATTAACCTTAACCGCTACAGTCGAAGTGAACGCTCACCTCCAACCCCGCCCGAGGTGTTCTCGACGAACGTGGTTTGCCCGCCCGTCGAAAAAGCTCCTCGGAAAACGTCAACAGCCCCTGTCCAAAAACAAGAATATGTATCGTGAAACCACATGCTTCTGCGGATAGACGAACCGCGAATCGAAACCGTTCTATGCTACTCTGCTCGCATTTTGTACAGACCATCTCGCCGAAGTTACATACCTCCGACTTCTGTTGCAGTATTGCGCACGAAACTCGTGGATCCTAAAACAATCCCTTCCGAAAATGAAGTCTCAATCGCGCCTGCAAAATCAATCGAGTACATACGGCGGGAAGGGTTAATCGCGATAAGATAGTGGGGGGGAAAATATAAAAAGCACGGCAGCGACGAAAGCAGGGTTTTGACCATTGAAAACCTATCCTTGAAAGGCACAGAGACTGCAGGTGCTAGACGAGCCCAAATGATGCGCTCCGTTGCCATCAAGCATGCGTCGCCATCAAGCAACGAAATACAACGCTTGATGTGCCTTCCCGTAGTGTTGTCGGCAGGAGTTCCGGGGACGTGGTGCTCAATATGGACTTGATGGAACATTTACAAAAGGGATACAGCTTACGACGATACCAACGGCAATAAAAAAAAACAAGAAGAACTAGACCAGTCCGCGGCCAGCCAGCCCGTCCACAGGGTCAGTCGCAGAAACATGTGATTCACATGGTGAACATTAAGTATATGGGGTGTGTTACTTATTTAATTGGTTTTAGGTTTGGGGAGAACATATTAACAACAGCAACAGCAACAGCAACACAACCACAACGACCAACAACAGACCCGAGGACCACGGCGACGACGACAAGAACAACAAAAAGACCAACAAGAAGAACAGGAGAAAGAAGAAGAACAACAACCCAAACAACCGCAGCAGCAACCATATCGTTGCCAGCATGGGTGCGGTAGGGGCGACGACACAAAACATGCCGAGAAAAGAACACTCCTAGTCCGGGGCGTTCTCAAAGGAAGGGGGGTTAAAACACAGCAGGAATTCGGCACGTGCTTGGCTTCACCGGTGAGTACTAGTATTGTGGGATGGAGGCTTTCTCATGACCAGGGGGCGCTCTCAGATGATATTACTTTGGTACGGTGGTTGTTGTATTACAAACAGTAGCTTCGGGAAATGGAAAAGGTGTGCAATTGAGAGCTCGAACAGACATCAATATTCTACCGGTCTTCAATGATGTTGGATACACAGGGTGCTTCCGTTCTCGCCAGGGTATCTATCTATCACCTTCGGTGTTGTTCTCAAACAAGGTTACTCCGTCGAAAACAAATGACGCGCCTTCCTCGCAGTACATTCCACCTGAAACGGCGGAAAATGGCGTGTTGAGTCTTCACCAAGAACTGAAAAACTTGCGATCGACCCTATGATGGTGAAAAATAAGGACAACCCAGCAAGTAGAGCAGAGAGACACGCCACGGAGAGAATGATCAAGCGAATGCGTTCCCCCGTGTTGCACGGTCTTATGCCCGCACCATTTGGGAAGTACACGGTGCGAGTTGGTAGCCGAATGGTGGGGAACAACCGACAGAACCGGCGCGTTTCATCTAAAAAAATGTTGGTAACATAGTTTCAGCAAATAATACAGAATTGATACATACCCAAAGAAACACATCGGGGGCATGGAGGACGTAAGTTCGTGGCTTCCCACGAGCTGACAGCTCGTGCAGCCAATCGTCGAGTATGCGCGGTGGAATGCCATGGCTGCGAGAAAATCTTCAAAGCAACACAATTCCAAGATACATCAAACCGCAACCGCATCGTCTCTACGTGTTCACCTCCCGAAGGCGCAACGTTGTCCAGCACCGAAGTGTTCCCAGTTGCAGCAAGGGTGCTCGACAGCATGTATATTGCGCCTGTCGCGATGCACCAGAATAAGCTTTGTTGTCGTACAGAGTCTTCCACAATGAGTGAACGACTGACCTTGCGTTGAAACTCGAATACACAGTAGTGGCATATATATGTTTTGTCCAAAGTGGCTTGAAGCGTCTCATGGAAGCATTTCACGGAACGTTTGCAAACATGATAGAGTGACGCGAAAACACTCACGGAATCCCCGTGTCCAGCGACCAACGCTTCGCCCCTTAGCAGCGACGAAAAAAAAAAAAATCCTTTCCATGCACGATCATCTAGCCAAGGGGTTCCACTTTGACGGGTAGCCGGTCTTGCCCCATCTCAGAATCCCGTGGGTGTGTTTGAAATGTTGAGGACGCTTATCGCAGAGGGTGGCAGATGTTCTTACAGGTCCTCGTGGCTCGCTGCACGCGGCGTCAGCGGCGACGAGCGCCACAAGAAGAAACTCATCGGCCTGTCTTTATTACGAAGTACTAGAATCGACAGTGTCATGCGACTGGCCATTGAAAAGACGCCAGTCTCAATGCTGCTAAAAACGGGAAAGGTTTCAAAGCGGGTGTGTGGTCGGGTCAAAAGCGTTGGTCGGATATCTTCCGCCCAATCGACACGCTCGGCCTCCAAAATCAACCTCAAGGCGAAACAGCAAGAGCAACTGCACATACGTCGGAGAGTCTTAGGCTGTGCTTGTTGGTGAAATCCCTTGTCTCTATGCGGTGCATCGTGTAATCTCCTATTTCGTCTGCCCCCATTCCATCTCTTTGCTCGGATATTCTCTGGGGGGGAGTGGGGGGTGCACTCATGGTCGTGCATGCCGTAGTCGTTAGACCATTGACCTCGCATCCCTAGAAAGCCAGGACGGAGCACGCCGGGTTCTCACCGGACCAGGCTCTCACATCACCAAGCGCGAAGTGCCATGAGGTACGGTAAACACCGGGGGGGGGGAAGGTAGATAAAAAAAATAATAACAGGGGGGCGGGGGGCACAAAGGGCAGCGACGCACATAGCACACTGTCCCAACCATCACTGTCATTCTTTCCGAGTTTCCCGATACGTTTTGAAAGAGAGTGGACACATCATCACCGTTCGAGATAACCCGCCAGTCGAAGAGAGGCGTTGAAGTCTTTGCAGTGAGTGGGGAAACAAACCTGCCGGATACTGCAACATTTACACGACAACGGTACAATGAGACACAATTGATCCAGCGAAAAATTGATCGCCCTGGGGCGCGCTTGTTGGCTCGTGCAGTCACCTCCAGTTTCTGAAGCACGGTTGTTGATGAACGAGGTTTCGCCATCGATAGAAAACGCGGTGTAGGAGGCGTAGATGGCACCTGCGAGAAGGAAGGAATCGTGAAAACCGAACGGCGTTATCGCAGGCAACCTGCCGTAAACGGAAGTAGAGCCTGAACCGGGGGGCCGTTCCGTCCACAGCGAAAGAGAGTCTCAAAAGCTCTCGACAACGCATGCCCCATAACGCTATTGGCGCGCAAAACCCAACCACCAACACATCGTCAGGGGCAGCGGACGTGTGTCGTTGCTACGAGAAAGGGGCAGGGATTGAGTTGCTAAATGTCCTATTTTTAGTTGTTCTGCAAGAGTCTTTGGAATCAGACCGGGAGAGACTTCCTTCGAACAAAGTACGAGAAGCGTTTGCGGCTCGATCGACCAAACTACCATCCGCACCGCTGTGCACAGGGATAATCAGGGGGAGAGTATGCACAACATGAGCAACACGCACAAGCAAGACCAAGGATGAGGTCTCGGGCGACTTTCCAAGAGTGCAGACTGTGCGTCGTAGGGAATAAGAGCCTATCGTGACCGGTCTTCCTACGGCATGCAGGAGAACGAAATCACCAAAGCTAACTCCGTCGGTTCTCCGGAACGCAAACTGACGGCAATTAATCATTAACCCTGCGGTATTCAGAAAGGCTTCGCCGACGCTGACAAAAAGCTGACAAAAAGCGCATCGTCAGAAAGCAGAAGCCAAGGCAAGGTTACTTGCTGTTGGAGAGGCACAAGCTGCACGCCCGCGTGCAAACCGCCAAACGACGCAAACATCGTATCACCTAATCCGATAATTCCGGAGCGCGGAACAATACATACAGCAGTACTACTGAATGGATTAAGAAAAAGTTGAAGTCTGTCGCTTCAGATGGGCCAATGGATACCTGTGACAATTCATCACCTCCCCGTAAATCTGCTGAGTTATCCGAAAACGTCGTCTTGCCCGTGATACTAGCCCGGTCGAAGCTGTTCAAGATGTTCCATACGCCGATTGCACCTGCCGGGTCGTCGAACGCACAAACGCAGTTGAATTCATCAGCGAGACGAACCCTAAAACAAATGTTGGAACGTGGAAGTTCCGTCTGGGACGAACGCCGCAAAAACTGTTGTGTCATGTTAGGAAAAAAAAAAAAAAAACTCTGCGACTACAGTAGTCGAATCTTGTAATATTCCTCTTCTCAACATGACCTCTCCGCAACAGTGCGCTCTACCTCGCCAATAACTCCTTGTACTCATTTCGATCGCGCAAACACTCAAAATGGTTTGGAATCCAGCGTTAAGGCCAACTTTCCGTGCGAAGGATGGTCTTCCATAGTTCAGTTTGATTCCATGGAGATGTATCTACTTCGACAAGTCAGTCGGGAATGCCCAATGGCTGGAGAATTCACCTGCCAAGCTACGTACCACGTGCATGACACCTTCGAGAACGAAAGCGGGCTCACTTACTTCCTTGGTTCTCCAAAAATCTTGTGTCGCCGCCGATGGTGAGGTTCCCAAGGTACACGAAGATGGCACCTGCGACATGGCCATTGCTTCGTGCGGTCAGCGTCGATAGTTTCCTCGGGTCTAACCTTTGACCAGTGAGCGGGTTCGGGTTGGCACACGTGAAGGGTTATCAATGGCTGGGCTTTGCTCGGCAGCCGCACGTGGGCTTGCATGCGTACAGATTCAAAACTCGGATTCCCAGTAGGCCTACATTGTGTGCCTGTGTCCCATCATCCCATGCACGAAGAACAATGAACAACAGCAACAACAACAACAATTGCACCCACAACTACTTGCCGTCTTGCCGTAGGCGAGGTGTTACCTTACCTGCTAAGGAGGAGGAACCGTTGTTGTTGGAGAATGTGCAGTCGGTTGCAGTGACTTGCGATTCAGAAGCTTCCACCGCCGGTCCGAAACTTCCAACAACCGAAACGCTGTCGAGTTCGAGCTGGGACCCATCCATCGTCAACCACAAAAAGCTGGACTGCCCCCCCGCCGTCGATCACTGCTCCATCAAAAATTGACCCGGTGACCTTTAGAGAGGTTCCGTTGGATACAGCAAACGTCTTCGTCACCACGACCTCACCACTCCACTCTACTTCAAAATCGCCTGCCCCAGAGCATTCGAGCTCGTTGGTAAGCTCCAGTGCTTCAGCTGTGCTCGAGACGCTGAGAGCCGTCATGTATCGCGGTTCATTACCGCTCTGATGGTTTATTTAGTCGGGTTGTCTGCTGCAGTGGTTTAGTGGCGACACACATGGCGGCAGTTACAAAGTTACCGGCGACAGGATGATGAGTTGACGATGTATCGGGTTACCCGTTTCCGTCCGATCGTATGCTGCAATATACGATCGTCTGGTTGTTACCGTCTGCCGTTACTTGTTACTTGTCCTGACCAAAATGCGGTGCAACCAAGAAATGACGCGCGCGGCGGTCCGCGAATCAACGTCTCACGAATCGCAGATTCACTGGACGCCCGGTCTGCGCTGGTCCTACTAGCTGGTGCACGCCCTCGTCGAACAACCCACACCAACAAAACACCAGAGGCGAAGCAATCAGGCAGGCAAGGGCGACAGAGAGTATCGCTGCAGCTGCTGGTGAAGTATCTAGAGCCTAGGCAAGAGAGCAAGAGGGAGGAGAGAGGGAGAGCGGAGAGAGAGACGGAGAGAGAGAGAGAGCGACCCACGACGAAGATGGCGAGAATATGCCGCCGAGCTGCTGTGGTTGCGGTCGCCGTGTGCAGCACCTGCCCAGCCTCGAGCTTCACCCCTTCCACGTTCGTCGGAGGAGGAGCGCAGAGCGCCGTGCTCTGCGGGAAGCCATCAGGCTCTTCGCAGCTCGTATCGCCACACGCGTGTGATGCATCAACGACGACGATGGCGATGGGATCTGCTGGGGGAAAGAAGAGGGCAAGGGTTCGGAAAGTTTGGCGGCGGGGACATGTCCAGGCCCGCGAGGTCAAGGACAAGCTCAACGCTGGGGTGTGGGACAAGTTCAGGGCCCCGCCGGATACCCGGGGGCACGACGAGGTTACGTTCAGGAGCGGCTTCGAGGGGAGAACGCTGACGATCCCTCAAGGTGGGTGCTGTCGGCGTCCATTTCGGTGTTGTCGTACTTTTTTCTCTTTCCGATGATGACTGCTGCTGATAAATTGATCCACACAGGTATGTACCGCATATCATATATCGACGTGGTTTAGAAGTTGATCAGTGGCAACATTGATGCTCCCCGTTACTGCTACTGCTGGAGCCCTGTGGTGCTGTTTTTGTCCTGTTTCCTGGTTGGCCTACTACCTCACCCTAGATTTGATGGCGCCTCGGTGGCCTCTATTCGCCGTCGGGCGATGCGTCACGAATGATGATGATGGCGATCGAGATTCCAGGACCGTTGGATTGTTGGACGGACTGGTGTCACGCGTCGACGCGCTGGCTTGTTTGTTGCGTTTGAGGGCAATGTGGACTTGCACTTCAACTGGCTTTAGATCTCTGCAGCGAGACAGAATTGCTGCTGTGACGCGCTATCTCTGTACTGTACAATGCTCAAAATAGCCCCCAAGAAGAAATGGTCTTCGCACGCGCGATGTGCTTGTATCCACCCGGTGATGGTTGACCAATCTTTGTCATACATGCAGCATATTCTACAAGCGCAACTATGCATATGCGTATGTACATTAGTTCAACGTTTTTCCGGGCGCGGTTGCTCGACCGTTACAGTAGCAGCAGGTGACGCCAGAACTGCTCTCCGTTCGACTTGAACAAGTGTACCATCGCCCTTCGGCAGAGGAAGGCCGGCAGCGGGGAGAGCATTACATTGTATCTTTATAACCTCGCGCTATTTTGTTGGACTGTGTCCGAAAGGCATCAATCCATCTTTTTTGCGACGGATAAAGTACATGCCATAAAAGGTAGCAGGGTCAATGTCAAATGTAGGCAGATGCCACATGCAGGGACGCACTCTTTTGGAAGTATCGGCGTGATCCGCACTGGGAGGCGTTGGGGCCTACGTTACTCTGTGTTCGTGCACGTATGGGTGGAGCCGTCGGTTGTTCATCATACTACTCTGGAACCAGTATAATAGTCAGGATTGAGGTCGGCCGCACACATCACCCGTATTTTTTGAAAATGCATCTCGCCAATAAACCAAGGATCTAAACTACAGCAGTATACCGTATGCATACATGCGGCGCGGCTTTCCATTGCAGTCTATGGCGTAGCACACTCTGGGAGTATCGCATCCGTTCTATTTGTACAAACAGCGGCATGCGGGTATGTAGGCGATTGACCGGCCCTCGCAGCCCCTCGAATCGAATGTTTAGTGGCGGCTGTGCATCGAACATTCCATTGGAATATTCGTCAACGGGCGGCAAGGGGGATCTCACATTCATTTTACAAGATATCGTGTTTTCTTGGCACCGTTTCGTCGCATCTTTTCGTTTTGGTTTTCGCCGTGGACTGGCTTGATGGCGTCAACTACCGGGCCTGCGACTTGGCATGCGTACCGTACGTTCTCATTTTTTTGTGCTGAGAGTGTTCTGTTTTGTCGCGTTCGTACTTGAAAATATGAATATATGGACCGCATCGAACATTCTCTTCCCTGGTTTATCCTTGTCACCCTCAAATCATTGTCTGCTCTCCCCCCCCCCCTGCCCCCCTCTCTCCGCATCAAACATTCCCTTCCCTGGTTTATACTTGAGTTGTCAAATCATCATCTGCTCTCTCCCCCTGCACTCCTCTTCGCATCGAACATTCCCTTCCTTGTCTCATCCTTGAATTTCTCAAATCATCGCATGCTCTCCCCCCCGCCCCCCTCTCTCGATCTCAGCCGAGAGATATTCGTCGTCCGCATGGTGGCACAACCTCCGCACGCTGCCCACAAGCGTCATCCTGCACCGAATCAAGCACCCGCTGCTGGTCCAGACCTTCTGGGCGACAGCGGTTTCCTTGGTGCACGCTGGGTTGGGTGGTGTCCACTCTATGAGCATTAAGGTGATGGGTGTGCATACAGCATCAAGGTGATCATAAGTTTTCAGAAGTATTTTTTGAGTGCAAATTTTTTTATTGCTTCAAGGGGATCTGCTGTAGAAGTAGAGAGTATGAACGTTTTGCGGTGGTGGTCTTGTGTCATCTGTTTGTTTTGTTTGGAAGGACGAAAAAAGAATACGTGCGTGTCTTTTATTTGTCTTCGTTATTTTTTGGGTTTGTAGTAGACAAGTGTGCTAATAGTTTGTTAGACGCTGTCTCCGAACGTCACCTCTCCATTACTGCTCCATCGACAACAAGTTTCCGACACTAACCCGGAACGCTCTTCGCTGTACGTGTCCTTCGGTGCTGTACGATACGTGGCCGTTTTTCGTTATCTCTGCAGCCGCACACTCTGCTCGGTTCCGCTCTGGGTCTGCTCCTGGTTTTCCGCACCAACGCGGCGTACCAGCGGTTTCAGGAAGGGCGCAAGCTGTGGGAGGAGGTGTTGAACGTGTCGAGAGACATCGCCCGGATGAGCACCCTCTACGAAGACGGTGCGCATGATGAGCAAACGGTGTGCACGGCCGTGTTGGGCTGCCGTGTGTCATGTCTTGTCGCGACGAATTCATATCGACAACGGTACAAGAGTTGTGAAGCATAGCTCCATCTTCGCCGGGCGTGATTTTAAGAGCTATGTATGCATAGCTCCATCTGTGCCCGACGTGATTTGCCACCGTCGTCGCTCGTATTGTACAACATCCACTTGGTGTGGTGGTCTCGCCTTACTCCGCCGAAGACCTCCGGTCCGCAGAGGTGTTTCGCGTCAACAGGTGGCTCTCCCTCCCGCGATTGTCTAATAGAACGTGCTGTCGTAAGGTCTGCCATACTTTAAATGTATATCTGACTTTTGTGTTGCGGCCTGTCGGTGATTTTTTTCTTGGATGCTCCAGTCTTCGGGAGGCGATTAGTCCAGCGCATCGCCAACCTCTTGGCCTGCCACGCCGTCATCCTTCAGGTGTGTTTTTGTCTGTGTGCCCACCAGCAGCGACGTGTAAAGGTCGAGATCGACAACCCCCACATGTTTACATTTTTTTTTTGTGTCCCCCCTGTTGACATTTTTGTGTGTGCCTTGCCTGTGAAGGTGAAGTTCATCCCCGCCCTGGGGTGAACGCTGCACAGGCGCAAGACCACAAGGCTTGCCGAGTTTCTGGGAAAACTACCCCGTTCAGAACAAACCATGGGCTATTCTCTTTTACCCCCGTGTTGTGAACTGGGAGGTTTGATTTGACAATGCCTCCTGAATAACCCCCTCCCCAAAACAAAACAAAACGTAAGGGTACGCCCTGCCCCCCCCCCCCGTCTCTGCTTTATATGTGATGTGTTTTGCAGGAACACCTTCAAGGGTACAAGCTGCCGCGAGTGTGGGAGGACCTCCTTCGGCCGGAAGAGGTTAGGGATCTCATGACGACCAACTGCAACCGCCCCCTCAAGGTCGTCAACATGATCTCCCGTGAGGTGAGAACGGGGAAGAGAGAGAAAAAGAAAAGAAAAAAAGAGACAAAAGAATGAGACAGAGAGGAGTGAGGCAGACAGAAAGACAGACAGGCAAACAGGTATGGTTGGTATCGTTGGAAGGCGACTCCCCTTTTACGCCTCCTGATTTTGTCTGAGTGCACCTACAGAAGTGGGGTACGTCGGCAGTTATCATCCAAGGTTTTAATACTACAGGACCCCGCACCGACATGACCAGAACCAGGTTTTCTAGAGAATCTGGAGGTTGAGTTGTGAACTGCTGTTTCAGGTTTCCGTTTGAAACATGCCACCTTCACACGCGGAATGCGGCGGTTTTGTAGTGGTATTGCATGCATGCATAGCGCGCCTCACTGACGGTTACAACTCCGCTTTCGCTGTGCGACACGTGCAGATCAAGTCAGTGCCGTACCGATGCGAAGACTGGTCCTCTCGCGAACGCCTGGCGATCCTGTCCATGTGCAACAAGCTCGGGTCCACGATAGGGGGGTGCGAACGGCTCGTGCAGACCCCGGTGCCCCTCCACTACGTGCGTCACACGAGTCGGTTCCTTACGATATGGTGCTTCCTCCTGCCGCTCGTGATCGGTGAGTGTACCCTGGGAGTGCCTGTGTTTGTGCCCTATTCGGCTTGTAGCCGTTGATCTTTGTAATCTACTGGAGTATGTCGGTAAACACCCTTGACTACCATGAAAGGTCAGTCCGTCCGTTCCGTTGGATTGTATGGTACGGAAGAGGAAGAACTGGGTGATTTTTTTTTGTTGTTGTTGTCATGTCCAGACTGCAAACAATATCCTCAAGCGGTAGATCACACACGAGACATCGGACTCGCCGTGCTGTTGCACAAAGGGGCTGTAAGGCTATCGCGTCTGCTAGATGCCGGTACTGCTGTTCCTCGCCAAGCCTATAGATATTTGTCGTTGCTGTCACTCTCTTGTCTCACCCCCCCCCCCCCCTCTTTCACCTCATGTGTCAGTTGGAGAGATGGGAATGGCCACGGCTCCAGTGGTGTTCCTGGCAACGTGGGCTCTCTTCGGCATCCAAGAGATCGGCCTCCTTATCGAAGACCCCTTCCAGGTATTGAAGCTCTTTACATGTACGCCATGTGCAATGGTCAATGTAAAATGTAAATGGGCCTAAGGTGGTATACATACATGATGTACCGCCGCCGGTGCAGCGTTCTTTCATGTTCCACCTCCCTTGGGGGTCCCACGAACGCCTTTCTTCTTTCTTTGCCCGTTGAGGCTTCCGTGAGGATGAACCTACTCCCGTCAAGAGAGTTCTTTGGAACACTCCAGCCTCTTGAGGTTTTCTCGGGGGACCTGCGCGACCCCCCCTTCCCTCGGGCAAGCAACAGCTGTAGTTTCTTGACCGAAGCGGGGAACCTTTTTGGTTGGTCATGTCCGCTAGAGGGTGCTGAGATTCTGTGGGAAGGAAAGCATGGCCGCGGGTAACGTCGTCTTCCTCTAAAGGAGCGCATCGACTCGAATTTTTTGTCCTTCATATCTAGGTGTTGCGGTTTTTTCACCGACTGCATAACCGTTTGGTGGCGAGCTTAGATATTTTTTCAAGCGATGTATCAACCCCCGCCCCCCCCCCTCGTTACTTTCCCTATATCCCCTCCGTTTCCTCAGTCCGCGCTGAGCCTGGATATCATGTGTAACTCCGTCTACACCGACGTCATGCAGACGGTGGGGGTGGCTGACCCCACGCTTCCGCAGCAGCCGATACCGATGCAGGTCAGCAAGGGGTCTGTCGGCTGCGGATGCTGCTGCTGCTGCTGCATCTTTTTTTGTTGATTTTGTTTTGTGTCGCGCGAAGCCCTAGTTGTTCCGCCCATGAAGGCACCTACCTTTGTGTTCCCTCAAGTCTCACCCTCTGCCATGATTTTCTTGGTGTTCGGAACTTTTTCTCGGCTTTTGTTACCGTCCGCGTTGGTCCTTTTGTCCATTTTCGTCAGTATTGCGAAACCGCCTTGAAAATGGCCATGCTTGTCTCTTCTCCTACAAAAGAAAACCGAGATTCGGTGTGTGCCCTGCCTTCCTCCTGCGTGTCGCGGCTGATGCGGCAGAAATGCACCCCTGCCAAACGGCGTGTAGACTGGCGCCAAGATACGTGGTGGCATGAACACACATAGGAGTCAACACATGGGAGTACACAACACAGCAGACGCACAACAGGATATAGTTTACCACCCGCCACGCCGAAATCGGAACCAACATTTTCTCATGTCCCTCGGCGCCTTCACAGGTGGGTATCGCGGTTGCGGACCTCCAGGACACCCGTGTGGACCAAGACGTCGTCCCGCTCTCCGCCCGCTGCAAGCACCCGGTCCTTGCCGACTGGAACCACGACGCAAGCGAGCGGCAGACGGAGCTGGCGCACTGAGAAACCATGGTAGATATTTTTTAACCAACCATTCAGCCAGTGACGGTGGGCCTCGGAACGTTCCACGTTACTAATAATATGTTTGTCCCGTGGAAGAAGAAGAAGAAGAAAATGTCGCACGTTTTTCGACTCATAGTTTTATTCCGCTTGAGCAGTTCGGCGATTGGGTGGGTGGGTGGGTGGGCGGACGTCTGCGCCGTCTCCTACGGTGTACGCGCTGCGCTTCCACAGTGTACGCGGGGCGTGCGTAGACGAGAGAAATGGTGGCGGGGGGCGGTTATAGGGGTGTGGCACGATCGGGGTGATGGGTGGAGAGTGGTGACTGCAGTCTTGAAATGGCGTCTAGAAAGAAACAAGTGGCGTGGTGTGTGTGTATGTGTGATGATTTCCCTTGCCGAAGGAGGTTTAGCGGGAGGGAGTCCGGTAGTGGTGTATCTATGTTGTTGTTGTTGTTGTTGTTGTTGTTGTTGTCGTGAAGAGGAAAAGCTCGAAAATACGTTTCGGAAATCTGCGTACTTGCTGAGCTATGGACATGTAGCGTTGGTGGCCGCCGTCCGGGCGCCGCAGCTGCCAAGTATGAGTCATGACTTCGGCACTAATGTTTGTGTGGTCTATTTGGGGGTGGGTGGGGCAAGGCCGCAGTATAGCGTGGGGGCCGCTGCTCCAGGGATAGTTGTTACTTTCACGAGGAGATGGCAATATAAATTTATGACATGGGTTGATCCGCCGCAGTCTTTTGCGTTCATCTGTGTGTGTAAGGCCCAACCATGCCGAGCCATGCCTACTTGAAAAATAATAAAAGGTATCTCCTTCCATGATGGGAAAACAGTCATGACACGTTTGCTCGGGCGAGAGCGAGAACTGAGCAGAGGAGGAGGCAGGCGCCAATATCTCAACAACGGTGGTGCAGCAGCAGCACGCAGTCCCGTAGCCTCGTTGGTTGCTACCGCGTTGGAGAGAGTGGTGGCACTGCTGACTGCTTGTGTCGTATGCCGTGGGTGGGTTTTTGCTGCAAAGAGGCATCTCGTTTCTCTCGGAGTTTTCTCATGTTACATCGTTTTGCATGGGTCACGCAAGACAAAACGCGTGCGTGGGTTGCATGCATGTGCGTCGACTCTTTGTGCTATCGGCAGCACTAGAATGGAAGTGGTGTCATTTCTATTTTTTTGTTGGTGGGCGTTGGCGTTATTTGCCGTTTAAGTACAAGTAGCGGTGCGTGGAAACGGTTGAACTTGCGTGCGTGCGGCTTGCATCTGTTTTAGGGGTTTGTTTTCTTGCGCTTGCCGTAGCAGTGTCGCGGCGTGAAACCCCCTCCTCGCTGTCAACAGGTTAGTAGGGAGGGGTAAGAGCAAGAAGGTAGATATGTGCATGTTGGTGAGGTAGAGGGCAGGGGGAGGGCCGAGCATTGCCCTAGTTTCCGTGTGTGCGACAGTTGGGAGTTGCGGGATAGGAGTGATGAGGGGGGGGGGGGGGTGACGGTAACGAGTGTTTCGATTGTGGTGGTCTCAGCTAAAAAAAATATATAGGGGGGGTGGCATGCACTGCGGCAAGAAAGGACGCCCCTATCTCTGTGGTACTGCTGTGATGAGAGAAGAAAAGGGGAGGGGCGGAGACGCAAACATCGTGCAAAACTGAGCGGGAACCCAGTCGCCGAGAAGCTGTTGCATTTTCGATCTCCGTGGCAGCACCTCTCGGCGATGTCATATGAGGAGGCAAGGGTGGGAAATAGGGCAGGTAGTTGTTAGTCTTGATGGGTATCCGAAACACTCCACAAATACGGCTGTAGTAGTAGGTGCGTGGATGGATCCCTTGGGATACACGGCAAAAAAGGAAGAAAAAAAAGGCTCGAGCCGCAGTGTCCCTTCTCTTGAAACAACCTTGAATCTTTGAACGCAAACCAAAATCGAAACGGATTTCGCCCTTCTTCGCGGATGCCCGTTTGATTTGACGGAAGAAAAAACGTCGACTTCAAGTGTGTTGTGTATGTGCGCGGGGTCGTGTCCTTGAATCGGCGTCGAGGAACAACGTCGTGTCGACAAATGCATGTAGCGCCGTGTCGCTACTTGCCACAATGCACGCAAGGGGAAGATTGTTTTGCGCTGAGAGGGGAGGGGAGGGCGTTGGTCCGCGTGTATCGTCACGTTCATGCCCTCGAACTCGAAAATGCGAATGCGCTGGTGTAGCATTATCTGCTGTGTGTAGGTTTGTGCTCTTGGTCGTTTCTTGTGATTGTCTTTATTAGTAAGTGTACGCGTTGTTGGTGGCGTTTTTTTTGTGAACTGTTTTTTTCGAATCTGGCGTGGGCGTGATAATGCTTTGTCTTTTTTTTTTTTTTCATGATCGATACGTGAAGCGTGGCCTTCGGTGCTAGGCTAGGCTCGGCTCGATCGATCTGAGAGGGTTGGCAATGTGGGAATACGGCATCTGGTCTGTATGGGTCAGGGTGTTGAAAAATATATGCGAAGGAGTTGTTGGATCCGTGTTGCGATTTTGTTCAAGAAATGCCTACCACATGAGAAATATGCTGTCTTCGTTGCCCATCGGAAGCCAAGACTCGTCCCAGTGTGAGTTGCCGAAGACACCTATCGTAGCAAGGACGGCAAGGAAGTCGCGTTGTGAAAAACACAACTCACACCGACCTTTGTACGTGTTGCGGGGAAGGGCGAGGTCTTGAGCATTCTTCACTCAAGAGGCGTTGTCGCAAAATAGGACACCCTCCCCTTCAAAGTACGGTCGTTAGGACCCAACGTCCAGGCAAGGCATCGGACCGAACGATACCGCCAGCGTAACATGTGGATACCACACATTCCCGACGAATCGCATTTGAACACAGTAGTCCTCTCCAGAGCGCGGTCTGGAAAGGGCCAAATCATACTTCTTTCAGCCACAGCGCGGTAATTCCGGAAGCAGGATTGATCGATCAAATCTCAGTACTGCTGTACCAGACCTCTTGGTTACTGGCCATCGACAATCTACTTATCTTTTGCCGTTTACCGAACAAAAAACTTGGGTTGCCGGCGAGCAATACGATGTACCAACTTCTCACAACGTCGAGTCACCCAAACCGAAATGACTTAAGACCATGAACGGCTGTATCTGCGAACAAGATACAACACGCTCTTCTCGACTAAACGCCACTATCCGATGATGGCCGAACATCCCACTAAACGACCATGCTGTCGAGGTCCACGTCATCATCGTCCGATCCCACGGGCATGTTGTGGACCTCCGTAAACGCGCTCCCGATGTCATCCCAGGGTGTCTCCAGCTCCGCCTCTTCCTTCTTGCGCTTCTCGTTCTCCCTGAAACGACGCATGACACAACATGACACATGTTACCCTTAATGTTGGTCCCGTCCACGTTGCGGTTTTCTTACATAATAACCGTTCCGCTGCAGCGCGGTCGGCAGCAAATCAAACGCCTTTTCACGTGCGTAGACCCCCACCACCCGATTGGACGAAACGCTGCAATTGTTTCCAACATCATGCATAAAAATTCTTCCTCCTTCCCCCTGATTCCAAGGCGCCCTTAGCGTTGGCACACACATGGTGTGGCTACTAGATACCGACAGAAGTCCTGCGGGTTTCGTCCCACGTAATATTCGAAACAATATTTTTTACATCTTTCCTTATAATACAAAATATGTATGGCTTGGACGCACTGCCCGGGACCACACCGATGGATGGAAGGCCGCACAAGGCATGATTTAATATTTTTTACAGCACGTCTGTCGCAAGAAAAAACCATCGAGTTCAAAGCAGACTCAACCCTTGACCAAGAGCGCGATGCAGTTGGTGCTGGCAGCCTGGAACAGCTGCACTTGCGTAGCAAGAGAACGGCAGGTTCCAGCAGCGTCTCTCTCTTTCGTAATCGAATACAGCTTTCTGTGAACGTTACCTAAAAAACGCGTCTAACCAACGTCTGCCGAAGACGACTCTCTCTTTTCTCCGGTAAATCCACCTCTATCAGGAAATTAAACGTCAACAAACCGGACCCCCCAGCTTCGAACGAACAACCGGTGCGTTTCGAGAGAGAACTGCCAGAGAATCAGAGCCGTCAGCGACCGCCTATACCTGAGCCGAAGAATCCGCTCGTTGAGGACCGCTTTCGCATCCTCGGACAGCCCATCCACCTTGTACACCGCACACAGTCTCGACGGCTTGAAGATTTTGGCGTTGAACATGACCACCGGAGGGATGTTTGCGATCCCGTACTGTTTTTCGAGGCACGAGTAGGCCGGGTTTTACCAACAAGGGGAGTGAATAACCATAAAAAAAAAACGGGATTAAGGTTGGGGAGAAGACTGGGGGGCCAGGATGGGTAAAACACCCGTTTGGGTAAAAAAGCGTACCCCTCAACACGCAGGTGTTTTCACGATCGCACCATGCATCGGCGTTGGTGAAATGCTCCTGTAGTTCGATACAATCAATCCGTCATACACAAAAAAAGTACAGCGCTGAGATGGGGCCGCACGATAGCCCCGACCGCACGACAGGAACAGTAGCCGTCGCAGGGTTTTCGACGACGGTATGCAAAACACTTTGAATAAAGCATGCAATCAATCGGGGGAGTTAGGTTAGGGTTAGGGTAAGGGATACGGTCTGCGTACCCCCTCCCTGTTCTATTTCCTCATATGATAGACCTTATTTTCTCGCGGAGGCGGTCCGACATGAAATACGTAGAGAAGATGAGCACTGCTGTACTGAAAGCACAAAGCGGTAGCACCGCTGGAAGGACTCCTGGTATTGAGTATATATACTTACGCCTCTCGCGGGACCCCGGAAAATCAGTCGTTTCTCAGTCTCGAGCATCAGAGCACAAGCTAGATAGATAGACCGCTGCCCGTGGACCAGGAAAGCGCTGAAAGTCCACGACGGTTTCGACACGTGACGCCAGGACAAAATACACCCGCACAAATACGAAGGCCAGAAAGAAGCAACGACAACGGCAACGACAGCAGCAGCAGTTTTGTCACCTGTTCGTTGAGGAAGAACTTCTCCTCGATGTCTTTCGGCATTCCCTGGGGGGTGGCTTGACTGTACGGCACCGGCTGGAAGATCTCACCTGTTTTACAGGGTCATCGTACGTGTGGGGGGTAGTCGTGTCGTCAGACAAAAAAAATGCAAAAAAATGGTTTCAAGGACACAAAAAGCTCTACTCAAGGCAAAACGGTCGTTCACAATGTACTGCGCTGCGCGGCCACCATGATTGGTCACAGATGCCTGTACGTGATGAAATGCAACTCTTGTGGCGCACCCGCGGTCGTACTAATTAGCAAAACGCATGCATGCCACGACAGAAGCAGCGCTTGGACGAAACCGTTATCGTGTATATTGGCTCACCGACGTATTCCGCGCTTTCGCAATCGAATTGCTTGCACACCTCCGCGATCATGTCCTTATGCCGAAGGTACCCGTCCAGGGTAGCCGCCGTCTGAACGAAACAGCCAGCCAACCACGGTAGAACGCACACGCAGAAGACATGGGAAATGCCGTGTTTCGTCAAATGCTGTTGCGAATCCGTGGGTCTTCCGACACGAACAATGAGATCGTAGAGCAAGTGCTCGGCAGCGTTGACAATAAAAACAACAACCACCGACACGAAGGAAAGGCTCACCAAAACACGGACGGATGTACACCCGCCCCAGGGTATGACGGACTGTCGGAATATCAAAAAGTCGCACAGGAAGCTGATGCTTATCATATCAAGCTCAATTTGTGGATATTCCTTACCGCGACTTGCTTGTACCCGGGTGGCGGGGGGAGCGTACTCTTCTGTTTTGCGTGCCTTAGCGGTTAACACCATTGACCACGCGTCCTCGAGAGGACGGAGCATGGTTCCCACAGGACCGATCACCGATGGCCAATCGTTCCTTCCTACTTTGCCAAAGGTGGCTCAAAAATGTCTTCCCTAGTCTGTCTATCCTAACGATATCCCTTCCCGCCTCTTCAAACCACTTCCTACTTCCCAGTACAGCTACCGTCCTCTCCTCTCTATTCCATGCCTCAAACATCTCCCTGTACGTCCCTTGTATTTTTCCCAGCTCAGTCATGTACCCGGGTGGCGGGGGGGTGTTATTCGGGGTACGGACGATTCCGATGAAACGTCGGCCGAAAACCGAGAAGAGCTGTACGCGATCGCACTCACTACCATG